TCACCTCCACCCCACCTCCACCCCCACCCCGCTCGGCTGCTTCTCCTGTAGGGTTTTGATGGTTCTGTTTACATCAGTCTTAACAAGAGGTATGCTTGTTCTCGCTTGTGCAGAAAACATTGTTCCAGATTCAATCGACCAGGTTCATGTCCCCTCACATAGTTTTTAAGGTTATTTATTTAAATGTCTAATGTATTTTATTGTAACAGACATTGTTTTGCCAACATTGCCTATTTCAGTGGCACTTCACAATCTAGTTTAAAAAGAAAAATAAAACATTTTAAATGGACAGAGAAAAATAACTGTCTTGTTTTTAACTCTTAAGTGGCTTAGTTTGAACTAACAGATGTCCAACTTTCTCTTAAGTTCTTAGTTTTACTTTTAGTTTTACTGTGCTTGAGGGGAAGAAGGATCCTGTTCTGCTGCATAGGTGGTTGTAGGAATTTTATTTTTAGTGTATAGGCACTAATTGTTATCTGTGATACATTTTTATGCAAGTTTCTGCTGGCCTGTTTTAGCCTGGTGTAGAGGACATAAGGGCAAGTGTGTATGTGTGTGTATGTGTGTGTATGTGTTTTGTAAAATCTGTAAATAGCACATGACCAAATGAACATATTGTATAGAACTATTTTTATTTGAATGTGGCACTAACCACCACCATCGTTACTATGACAAATGTTTGCGCATGTTCGAGATCAGTCTTAACCAACAGTGTGTAAGTCATTAACAGTCCTAACTGTGGTGTTTTCCTCCAATGCCTTCCAACATCCATCAACTAACGTGAGTATTCCCTGAAATCTGGATGCTTTAGCCTAAAGGTTACTGCCACTAAATGAGCTGGCTATATGACACTAATGAGTAAGCCCCTTATGTCAGGCACCCTGAGAGCAGCGGGCATATGACTTTACGTGGCACCTGTGGGCTGGGGTAGCTGTTCTCGACGCCACCCACTGCCTAGGATAACAGCACAGCCACATGTCAGTTGGGGAGGGCCTGGGGGAAGAGAAGGTAGTTCTGCTTTGGTCAGACTGACAGGTGCCTTCACAAATGCCAAGATGAGGATTCACAAAAACTTGTCATGGTTCCTTTGATCTTTGTTAGCTGCAAGGACTTGTCCCAGAATCTTGCTACCTGGTTCAATAAAAAGCAAAAAGTGAGTGAAAGCAAGTAACCAATAAAATCATGCATCATTTGTTGCATGACTTTTTTCTTTTTATGGCTGCGCTGTGCGGCTTGTGGGATCTTAGTTCCCTGACCAGGGACTGAACTCAGGCCCCGGCAGTGAGAGCACTGAGTCCTAGCCACTGGGCTGCCAGGGAATTCCCTGGTTCATTTTAAATAGGCCACCTTTTTCCACCTTCTGGGTCATACTCTTTGCAGCTGAGATTTAACTGTGCTTTAATGTACCCTGGAGAGAAAAGATACTGGCCATAGTTCTGCTCAGCTAGCAAACAACCAGCCCCATCATTAGCCAGGGTGAAGGAGGGCCTAGGCAGCAGCTCGTATTCAGGGTGGTAGCTCACTACACGTGAAACCCCGAGAGTTCTTGTGGGTACTTGAAGGTACTTGGGCCCTAGCTGGATACAGGGCCAGCCAGAAAACATGATGTAAATGCTGAGCGTGTGGGGAAAGGTTAACAGGTATCAAGCAGGACAAGGTGCTGCGAAGTTAAGAGGTCTCCATGTAAGGGGGTAGAAAGGTCACATGGAGGCGGATTCTTAATTTAGAGTCCTGGCCTGGCTCATGGAGGCCTCTCAGAGGAGGAGGAGCTGGTTTGGTTGGCAGAGAATGTAGGGGATAACATTTTGCCAGTTTTAGTGTTATGGGGTGTAGAAACAGGTTGAGCAGATCAAATGCAAGGAGTGTGTCTCGGCTGCAAACCAAACCAGGGTGTCTGAGCTTGTTGGGTGGGGTGCCATTCAGTGGTCAACTTTTCCTGACTCAGCTCCTTGATTATTATTGGCCCTTGCAAAGTAAGTTGAATGGTACGGAAGGCTATTACCTTGTGCTTTCTCAGCTTCAGGCCTGTCCAGCCCACAGAGGTGGTTTAGGCACCCATTTCCCTCAACTCAGACAGCTGGGAGTGGGAAAGACCCAGTGGTGCAGAGTCCTTTTGTCTGCTCTGTTTCAGGCTTCGCCACCAAAAAACGTCTGATTGGCACCTCCTCAGTAGTTGGTGCTGCTGTGGGCACATCCCTGGCCTCTGTCCTATAGGGAGCAGCAGGTACCCAGCCCCATCCTCACCAAGTACCCGCAGGAAGGCACCGTTGGCCTCTCTGCTTCTGCTGCTATCAGTAGCTGGATAGGACGGCAGCATCCTCAGACCCATCATGTTACATGCTCTCAGGCAGCTCTTGCCTGAAACTTGCTCCAGGTTCTTTCTCAACGGGCAAGTGGGCTGAAGGCCCATCCCATCAGTGTTCTGTTTTTTTGCCACCCCATGCCCAGACTGACCTCTTTAGTAGAGCTTTACCCTTTGCCCAGGAGATGGCAGTCTTACACGTTTCCTAAGTGGGGTACTGTGCCAGCAGCTCATTCTGCATCTGTACAGTGCAGGTGACACGTTGGGTAGGGAGAGCTGCAAGAGCTCAGAGACAAGCAGGGCAACTGCCACCTTCCCTCACAAGCAGCGGCTGCCACATTACCTTCAAACTGGGGCCTCAGGCCCCTGAATGTCCGTGTGGTGGGCAGACCTCAGGAATATCCAAGACCACAAGCGTTATTAGCTCAGTGTCTGCCAAGCCTGTTGTGTCTGCAGGGCGGAGGCACCAAATTGTGTCAAAACCACCACCCTGCATGTGAGGGTAATCTGCAGCCTTTTTTCTTGAAAGGGAACAGTGATAAGCAATTCCCCTTCTAGGACTGGATGCAGCCCAGAGGCTGGCCCCCGGGGAAGGAAGGAGAGAGGCTTGGCGCTGATTACCACGCTGCTCACTCTGCTTCGCCTTCCTTACCCTCTGCACTGCTAACTGAGGACTTCGTAACTTTTGTTATACCTGAAGCGATTAAGTGTCTGCCTGGTTGGATTCTCTGTAGCCAGGTGACATGAGGGGCCTGTGTTGCTGAGCCAGTGCTTCTGGATGCTACCCTGTGTAGGCAACCCCTCAGGGACAGTTGATCAGAAATGCTAGTCTTAAAATCTTAAAAGATCAAACCGAATATTCCTTTTCATCTGTCACTATTAATCTTAAATTAGTTATTCTAACATTTCCTCCCCATATTTCATAAAGCTGATTTCCTCTCTCTTTCCTTTTCAGCAATACTGGAGTAACCGCTTCCTAAACCATTTTGCAGAAATTTAAGGGTGTTCAGTTGCGTGCATGTGCGTTTTTTAGCAACACATCTACCAGCCCTCTGCATGATTGATGTTGGGGGGAAAAAGAAAATTAGAAAAAACTCCCCAACTCATTGTGTGTTATGTGGAGGAAACGTGTATTACCAGTGGGGTTTTTAGCTTTTAAATCAAAATAATTACAAATGTACAGTTTAGCTTAATGAATCAGGAAGCCTCTCCAGAGAAATTTGGTTTCTTTGCTGCAAGAAGAATGAGGTTCTGAAACCTTATCCAAGAGCTTAGAAGCCATCAGCCAAGTTGCCATATTTCTCTGTGCAAAATGTCATAGCTTAAATAAATGTACAATATTCAGTTGTAATGCATGCCTTCAGTTGTAAGTAGCCAGATTTCTCTATGGTGTCATTGAAACATGCTACTTTTTAATTGGCCCTGTACAGTTTGCTTATTTATAAATTTATTGAAAACACTACAGGTGTTGAATGGTTAAAAATGTAGGCTTCCAGTTCATAACTTCGGTTATATTTTGAGTGTGCAGCTATTTTGCACTGTATTAAATGTAACTTATTTAATGAAATCAGAAGCAGTAGACAGATGTTGGTGCAATACGAATATTGTGATGCATTTATATCAATAAAATGCTAAACGTCAATTTATCAACGCATGTTTGACATAGACTGTAAATAGAAAGCAGTTTGTTTCTGTGCTGGCAACAGGCATTGCACAGACATGGTTTCAGGTAAATAAATCTATTCTATGATAAGTTCACAGTGTGGTGTTGACTGTTCTCCTGCAGGAGGGGTGGGTGATGTGCACTGAGGACCTCCAGCCCTGCACCCTGAGCAGTTGTGCCCTTAGGTAGATAAAAGGGACAGAAAGTTCCTGTTGACTTTCTGCATAGGAGAGCAGAGTGGTAGAAGGTCTGGTTGTGTGACATGAGATCTATAAAATATTCCTGCCCTGGTTCCACTGTCTCCCCTTATGTATGAGAAAAAGAGTGTGTCATGAGTGGGGTTTTCAGAGATAACATGATTTAAAAGTTGTCAGCAGCTTGGAGACTATAGTGATGGAGAGATACTTGTAATACTACTCAGATGCAAAATGTAAATCCCACTGTTAATAGATATAGAAAAGAGCTGAGTAAACCAACTATACTCCAATTTAAAAAAAAAGAGAAAGGAGGTTCCCCCCCAAAAAAAGGAACTGAAATCTATATACATGGGAAAAATATTTGATAAATTTTAACATCCATTCTGTAAAGGATAAAAAAAAACTTTTGAGTACCCATAATTCCCATTTTTTGACATAATGAAAAGCCAGAAGTATTGAATTCCAGAATTAGACTCACCATCCACTGTTGCCCACAACTTAGCACTGTTCTGGAGAGTCACTGTAGTCAGACAAGAGAAGGGAAAATGCCTAGGAGTGAACAGAAAGGAGCAATGGTCATACTGGATCAATAAGAACACCTTATTTTTATGAAAGTTTAATAATTCAGGGGAGATTAACATCTTAGTATGAATGATGATACACGTCATACATTATTAATAATATATGAAGGGGCTTCCCTGGTGGCGCAGAGGTTGGGAGTCCACCTGCCGATGCAGGGGACATGGGTTCGTGCCTCGGTCCGGGAAGATCCCACGTGCCGTGGAGCGGCTGGGCCCGTGAGCCATGGCCGCTGAGCCTGCATGTCTGTAGCCTGTGCTCCGCAACGGGAGAGGCCACAGCAGTGAGAGGCCCGCGTACTGCAAAAAACAATAATAATAATATATGAAAATACCAAATGTTTTAATCAGACTGATTCTAATAAAAATGCAAGAGTAGCAAGGAAGGGTACAAACCTCAGGTATAAAACCTATAGTCATTAAATGTATTATCTAAGAAAGGTGGCATTTTAGCTTAGTAGGTAAAAGTTGGGTTATCCATTGTCACTGGTTATTCTGAAAAAAAATATGGCTGTATCCCTCACACCCAATCAACTGCAAATGGATCAGAAGGTTTGAAAAATGAAGTTATACCCCAAAAGAAAAATGGCTAAATGATATAAACAAAATTTGTAAATATAAGATGTTCAATCTCACTAGCAAATTAAATTCACAATGAGATACCATTTCATGCCCATCAATTGACCAAAAAACGGGTCTTCTAATACCAAGGATGTGGACAATGGGCCATCCTTACATTGTAGAGCAATTGGGTATCATCATCTGGTACATTTACAGATGCTCTTAACATACAACCTGGCAGATCCTTACCTTCTTAGGGATTCCTCACAAGTGCTGGAAGAGCCATACCAGGATGTTTGCAAAAGAAAAGCACCAACCTAAATGACCAACAACAGGAAAATGGGTAAGTATATTTAAGGCATGTTGGAGTCACTCTGCATCAGTGAAAATGAATAAACAAACCAGGCATCAGCAGATAAACCTCCCTGCACGGTGCCACCAAGTGCGATGTATATCAAGTTTAAAATACCCAAAATAAGACCATATCATAGCCTTTTTTTTTTCTTGGCTGCACTGCACAGCATGCAGGATCTAGTTCCCCGACCAGGGGTCCAACCTGTGGTGTGCCCCCTGCAGTGGAAGTGCAGAGTCAACCACTGGACGGCCAGGGAACTCCATGACCATATCATACTGTTTAACCTGGCCCTAGGGCCAGTGCCTGTCTGTGCTAAGGCATGTGCACTGGCTTCCTTGATGAGAAAGTCCAGCTCACAGAAAGTCAGCTAAACTAAACAGCCATGTGGTGGATTCACAGTGCAAGCTCCTCACCTCTGTGGACTAGGAGCAAACATAAATAACAAGTTCACAGACACCAGCCACAGGGATAGGAAGTGAGTAGGTGGATAGTGGTTAGTTCCAAGAGGGAGGGAGAGCAGAGTTTCACTTCTGTAAGTAATGCTTGGGTGCCATGTATGTAGGGGTTCATTATGCCTTTTGCAAATCTGAGATGTTTTTTTTTTAAATCATAAAAGTACCAGGAGAAAACATGGAAGCTGAGAAGACTTTCTAAGCATGACACAAAATCCCAGGAGAGTGATAAACTGACTACATAAAAACGTAAAAGTTTTGGAATACCATATACCTCTCTGGAGTTAGTAAAATAGATGTGCTACGCATATAACAAAGCATATTCTCTAAACATACTAGCAAAGATAAAAGTTTAATGATCTCTCCTTTGCAGCTGGCATTAGGAAAGAGCTCATGCTGATCGTGAAAATATAAATTGGCCCAATCTCTAGAGGGCAATCTGACAATATCTATGACATTTTTAAATATCCATCCCCTTTGATCAAGCACTTAACTTTGGTGAAATCCCCCCACATGTTTACAAAGCCAAACGTAATCCTGCTGCATTATTGTTAGCAAAAGATTGGAAATAACCTGTATGCCCATCAATAAACAAGCTAGCTGCTAAATAAGCTAAGAACATTCTTACCATGGAGTATTAATGCAGCCTTCAGAAAACCCAAGGTTAGATCTATGATCCAGCAAGCAATGACGTCCAATACACATTTACTGCCCAGTGAAATATTCAAGTGCAGGTCCATCCATGTTGTCATAAAGGGCAAAATTTCATCATGGCTGAGTAATATTCCATTGCTATGTTCCACATCTTTATCCATTCATCTACTGATGGGCACTTGGGTTGCTTCCATGTCTTGGCTATTGTAAATAATGCTGCAATGAACATAGGGGTGCATGTATCTTTTCTAAAATACGCAGGAGTGGAATTACTAGATCACGTGGTAGCTTTTTTTTTTTTGAAGAACCTCCATACTGTTTAGTGGCCATGCCAATTTACTTTCCCACCAGCAGTGCAGGAGTGCTCCCTTTTCTCCACACCCTCCCCAACACTTGTGATTTGTTGTCATTTTGATAAGTCATTCTGACAGGTGCAGGTAATACAGCTAACTGTGGTTCTGGTTTGCATTTCCCCGACTATGATGTTGAGCATCTTTTTACGTACCTGTTGGCCAACTGTATGTCTTTGGAAAACTGTATTCAGATCGTATGCCCATTTTTTCATCAGGTTTTTTGATGCTGAGTTGTATATTTTGGATATTAACCCCTTGTCATATGTATCATTTGCAAATATCTTCTCCCATTTAGTAGGTGGCCTTTTCATTTTGTTGATAGTTTCCTTTGCTGTGCAAAAGCTTTTTAGTTTAATGTAGTCACATTTGTTTGTTTTTGCTTTGTTTCCCTTGCTTGAGGAGACAGATCCAAAAAATATTACTAAGACCAGTGTCAAAGAGCATACTGCCTATGTTTTCTCCTAGAAGTTTTATGGTTTCAGGTCTTACATTTAAGTCTTTAATCCATTTTGACTTTATTTTTGTGCATGGTGTGAGAGTAGTCCAGTTTGATTCTTTTGCATGTAGCTGTCCAGTTTTCCCAAAACTATTTACTGAAGAGACTGTCTTTTCCCCATTGTGTATTCTTGCCTCCTTGGTCATAATTAATTGCACATATAATCGTGGGCTCATTTGGGCTATTTTTTTCCATTGATCTATATGTCTGGTTTTTTTGTGCCAGTACCATGCTATTTTGATGACTGTAGCTTTTTAGTATAGTTTGAAGTCAGGGAACATACTTCAGCTTTGTTCTTTCTCAAAATTGTTTTGGCTATTTAGGGTCTTTTGTGTTTCCATACAAATTTTAGAGTTATTTGCTCTAGATGTGTGAAAAATGCCACTGGTATTTTGATAGGGATTGCACTGAATCTGCCTGGGATAGTATGGTCATTTTAACAATATTCTTACAATACATTAGTATGATATATCTTTCTTCTGTTTCTGTCTTCTTCAGCTTCTTTCATGAGTGTCTTATAGTTTTCAGAGTACAGGCCTTTTACCTCCTTAGATTCATTCCTAGGTATTTTACTTTTTTTTTTTTTTTTTTTGCTGTACACAGGCCTCTCACTGTTGTGGCCTCTCCCGTTGCGGAGCACAGGCTCCGGACGCACAGGCCCAGCGGCCATGGCTCACGGGCCCAGCCGCTCCGCGGCATGTGGGATCTTCCCGGACCGGGGCACAAACCCGCGTCCCCTAACATCGGCAGGCGGACTCTCAACCACTGTGCCACCAGGGAAGCCCTACTCTTTTTGATCTGATTATAAATGGGATTGTTTTCTTAATTTCTTTTTCTGATACTTCATTGTTAGTGTATAGAAACTCAACAGGTTCCTGTATATTAATTTTGTATCCTGCAACATTACCAAATTCATTGATGAGCTCTAATAATTTTTTGGTGGCATCCTGTGGATTTTCTATGTATTGTATGTCACCTGCAAACAATAAATTTATTTTTATTTTTGGCTGCGTTGGGTTTTTGTTGCTGTGCGCGGGCTTTCTCTGGTTGCAGCAAGCATATGGCCTGTGCTATGTTGAAGTATGTTCCTCTATATGTACTTTGTTGAGTTTTTATCATAAATGGATGTTGAATCTTGTCAAAAGCTTTTTCTCCATCTATTTATATGATCATCTGGCTTTTATTCTTCAGTTTGTTAATGTGGTATATAACACTCATTTGCAGATATTGAACTACCCTTACATCCGAGGTAAATCCCACTTGATCATGGCATATGATCCTTTTTATGTCTTGTTGAATTTGGTTTGCTAATATTTTCTTGAGGATTTGCATCTGTGTTCAGCAGTGATACTAGCCTCTAATTTTCTTTTTCTGTGCTATCTCTGTCTGGTTTTGGTATCAGAGTGATTTCTGGCATTGTAGAATGAGTTTGAAAACATTCCTTCCTCTGCAATTTCTTGAAATAGTTGAGAAAGGTGTTAATTCTTCTCTAAATGTACAGAATTCATCTGTGAAGCCATCTGGTCCTACACTTTTGTTTGAGGGAAGTTGTTTTATTGCTGATTGAACTTCATTAATGGTAACTGGTCTGTTTATGTATTTTCTATTTCCTCCTGGTTCAGTCTTGGGAAAGTGTACATTTCTAGGACTTTGTTCATTTCTTCTAGGTTGTCCATTTTATTGGCATGTAGTGATTTGTAGTAGTCTCTTATGATCTTTTGTATTTCTGGGGTGTGGGTTGTGACTTTTTTTTTTTTTAATTTATTTATTTTTGGCTGCATTGGGTCTTCGTTGCTGCAGGCAGGCTTTCTCTAGTTGTGGCGAGCAGGGGCTACTCTTTGTTGCGGTGCGTGTGCTTCTTATTGTGGTGGCTTCTCTTGTTGCGGAGCACAGGCTCTAGGCGCACAGGCTTCAGTAGTTGTGGCACGAGGGCTCAGTAGTTGTGGTTTGTGGGATTTAGATCACAGGCTCAGCAGTTGTGCCGCACAGGCTTAGTTGCTCCACAGCATGTGGGATCTTCCCAGACCAGGGCTCGAACCCAAGTCCTCTGCATTAGTAGGTGGATTCTTAACCCTTGTGCCACCAGGGAAGCCCTTCATTTCTGATTTTATTGATTTGGACCCTCTCTCTTTTTCTTGATGAGTCTGGCTAAAGGTTTATCAATTTTGTTTATTTTTTCAAAGAATCAGCTCTTAGTTTTTTTGATCCTTCCTATTGTTTTCTTAGTCTTTATTTCTGCTCTAATCTTTATGATTTCTTTCTTTCTACTAACTTCGGGTTTTGTTTGTTCTTCTTTTTCTAGTTCTTTTAGATGTAAAGTTAAGTTGTTTGAGATTTTGCATGTTTCCTGAGCTAGGCTTGGATCACTATAAATTTCCCTCTTAGAACTGCTTTTGCTGCATCCCACAGATTTTGAATCGTTCTGTTTTTGCTTTTATTTGTCTTCAAGTGTTTTTTAAATTTCTTCTTTGATTTCTTCAGTGATCCACTGCTTGTTTAGTAGCATATTCCCCACAAGGGAAGAGAACAAAAGAAGAAAGGGAGAAAAAGTAACTACAAAAACAACCCCCAAAACAATTAACAAAATGGCAATAAGTGGGACTTCCCTGGTGGCACAGTGATTAAGAATCCGCCTGCCAATGCAGGGGACCCAGGTTCGAGCCCTGATTTGGGAAGATCCCACATGCCGCAGAGCAACTAAGCTAGTGCGCCACAACTACTGAGCCTGTGCTCTAGAGCCCGCAAGCCACAACTACTGAAGCCCACGCACCTAGAGCCTGTGCTCTGCAACAAGAGAAGCCACCGCAATGAGAAGCCCGCGCGCCACAATGAAGAGTAGCCCCCACTCACCGCAACTAGAGAAAGCCCGCACACAACAACGAAGACCTGATGGCTGCATCAGGCTGCATAAATAAATAAATTTATTTTTTTTAATGGCAGTAAGTACATACCTATCAATAATTACTTTAAATGTAAATGGACTAAATGCTCCAAGACATAGAGTGACTGAATGGATACAAAAAGAAGACCCATATATATGCTGCCTTCAAGAGACTCATTTCAGATCAAAAGGCATACTGAAAGTGAGAGGATGGAAAAAGGCATTCTATGCAAAGGGAAATGAAAAGAAAGCTGGAGTAGCAATACTTGTGTCAAAGTAGATTTTGAAACAAAGACTTTAACAGGAGGCAAAGGACATTACATAGTGATCAAGGGATCAATCCAAAGACGTAACAGCTGTATATATATATTCACCCAACATAGGAGCACCTAAATACATAAAGCAAATATTAACAGACATAAAGGGAGAAACTGACAGTAACACAATATTAGTACGGGACTTTAACACACCACTTAGATCGATGGACATATCATCCAGACAGAAAACACTGGCCTTGAATGACACATTAGAACAAATGGAATATATATATAAAACATCCCATCCAAAAGCAGCAGAATACACGTTCTTTTCAAGTACATATGGAACATTCTCCAGGATAGAGTCATAAACCGGGGTTGGTAAATATAAGAAAACTGAAATCATAGCAAGCATCTTTTCTGACCACAATGCTATGATACTAGAAATCAAGTATAAGAAAAAAAACAGAAAACAAAAAATACCCTGCAAACACGCAAACATGTAGAGGCCAAATAATATTCTACTATTTCTTTTAAAAAACAAGAGGAAGTTTTCAGTAATGATGGTTGCTGAGAATAAGTGAAAATGCTGTGATATAGATGGCAGATGGTGGTAGCCAGTTTTCTCACTGTTGGAGTAGGAGGTTACAGATAAGCAAGGGAAGACAGCTAGAATGATCCATGTGGTAGTGAATTACCGTTGGAAACACCAGGATAAATTATGTTTAGCTTAATATCGATACAGAAAATTCCATATAGAAATATTTCTAGTTATGTGTATATATACATGTATTACACTGTCAACTGAGTGGGCCAAGAAGCAAGGACAGACACTCCAGTGGCGATGAGCACACTTAGCTCCCAGTTTAGGTTTCTGATGCCATTCTCCAATTAAAGGAATCAAGTCTCCTTAGAGAAATGGCTGATTCTAGGACTGAGGCAGAAAATGTACAAATGCCTGGAGAACACTAGTGCCAGAAAGCAAGGAAGTGCTCAAACACAAAAACAATGATCAAGGAGATGAAGTTATCTCAAAGGGACACAGGAGCCAAGTGAAGAAGCTTTGAATGGCCAAAGCTGGAACAATTAGAGCAATAAAATAAAGTAGTATTGAATTATAATCCAAAGTATAAAATAAATATCCATGAGTTCATACTGATATAAATAAATGGGAGAAAACAGAAATCTCCCTTGTAGAAGAAATCCAAGTAATTTCTATAGGCACTCTGCCATTACAGAGGTGAAGTTCTTTAAGCCTGAGCTTAAATCACATAGTGACTTCCAAAGAGTACATATGGGGACGTCCCTGGTGGTGCAGTGGTTAAAAATCCGCCTGCCAAATGCAGGGGATGCACGTTCGATCCCTGGTCCAGGAAGATGCCACATGCCGCGGTGCAACTAAGCCCGTGCGCCACAACTACTGAGCCCACATGTTGCAGCTACTGAAGCCCAAGCATCTAGAACCCATGCTCCGCAACAAGAGAAGCCACCACAATGAGAAGCCCGCACATCGCAACGAAGAGCAGCCCCCCACTCACCACAACTAGAGAAAGCCTGTGTGCAGCAACAAAGGCCCAATGCAGCCCCCCACCCCCCCAAAAAAAGTACATATAATGTAGACAGGGGGAAAAGTGACTCAGAGTAGAGAAACCTGACAGACCCTACCTCAGCTAAGTGATGTCATCCTGAGAGCATGTACCTTTGATATGAAGTGAAGATGACATTTTACCTGTGGTCTTCCTCTCAAAACATAACCTCAGTCTAATCAAAGGAAAAACATCTGACAAATCCCAAAAGACATTCTGTAAAATCCCTGACCAATGGTCCTTAAAACTGTTGAGGTCATCAAAAAGAAGGAAAGTCTGAGAAACTTTCACAGCCAAGAGAAGACTAAGAACACATGATGACTAAATACAATACTACTGAATGGGATCCTGGAATAGAAATAGGAAAAAACTAACAAAATCTGAATAAATTATGGACTTTAGTTAATAATAATGTATAAGTATCATTAAAAATGTACCATATTGTTAAAAAATGTTAATAACAGGGGAATCTGTGTCTGGGGTATATAAGAACCCTCTGTACTATCTGCTTAATTTTTCCATAAGTCTAAAAGCTCTCTCTCTCTCCCTCTCTCTCCCTCTCTCTCTCTCTCTCTCTCTCTCTCTATATATATATATATATGACTCAGAGCCATAAAAAAGAATGAAATCTTGCCATTTGCAACAACATGGATGGATACATACCACATCTCCTTTATCCATTCTTCCACTGTAAAGCTGGTTTTCATGATTTTGTGTGTGCCCTTTAAAAGCACCCACTGACCTTTGAAGCCAAATGTTTTGGGGACTCATTTTCCTAGTGTGATGTCCCTGGGCTAGGGAGCCCAATGTGGGGCTCAGACCCCTTTACTCCTTGGGGAGAACCTCTCTAATTGTAATTATCCTCCATTTGTGGTTCGCCTACCTGGGGGTATAGGTCTTGACTATACTGCGTCTCCACCCTTCCTACTTGTCTCATGGTTCCTTCATTTTATCTTTAGTTGCAGAAGATCTTTTCTGCTAGTCTTCATGTCATTCTCATCAATAGTTGCTGCGTATAAACAGTTGTAGTTCTGGTGTGCCCATGGAAGGAGATGAGCTCAGGGTCTTCTTATTCCACCATCTCGGCCACTCACCAAATTTTTAAAAAATCCTCATAGAAGCATCAAAGAACTATAAGGTGGTCCAGAATTTCCAGGCAAAAATCTAAGAGAAAGCAAGAGAGATCATCAGAATACCCACTAGGAGAGGTCAACTTCTCTCCTAGTGGCATCTACCTATCCCAATAAACTAAGCTGTGAAAGCAAGCAGGGGTTTTGAGGGCTCACAGAGTAAAAAAGGCAAAGTCAAATCCAGGGCCCACCAAAAGTGGGAAGTCTCAAAGGACATTAAGCTGTGACCCCTGAAGGGCTAACACCTCAGGGTACAAGCAAACCTTCCCCAAAACTCAAAGAACTGTAGGTAGCATTGCCTTGGTGCTGAGCAGAACCAGGAAAATATCTGCAGCCCAAACTCTATCCTAGTGGTAAGCTATGAAACTTCAAGGCATGAATTTAAAGTCACTGATAGTACTCCTAAGCACCAAGCAGAAATAAATGTAAATCCTGTCTGGGGGGAAGGCACCTTCATTTTACGTCATAGGAGAACCACACAATTATTTTTCAAAGCAGCACACAGTAGAAGACAACCAAGTACATAAAACAAGGTGCCATGAGTGAGAGCCTACAGAAACACACATTACAGATTCATACAGACTTCACATATGGAAAGTATTAGATATAAAACATTCATACTGGGACTTCCTTGGTGGTCCAGTGGTAAAGAATCCGCCTTCCAATGCAGTGGACGCAGGTTGGATCCCTGGTCAGGGAACTAAGGTCCCACATGCCGCGGGGCAACGAAGCCTGCACGCCACAACTACTAAGCTTCCGCACCTCAACTAGAGAGCCTGCATGCTGCAAACTACAGAGCCCATGGGCTCTGGAACCCGAGCACCACAACTACAGAGCCCACATGCCCTTAAGCCTGTGCGCCACAACTAGAGAAGAGAAAACCTGCACATCACAATTAGAAGCTCGTGCACTGCAACGAAAGATCCTGCGTGCCTCAGCTAAGACCCAACACAGCCAAAAATAAATAAAATCTTTTTTAAAAATAAATAAATAAAAAGAACACATTCATGCTTACTTTGCTTAAAGAAAAATAGATGAAAATCTGCAGGACACAGCAATTATTAAAAGTGAACATAGGGGGACTTCCCTGGCAGTCCAGTGGTTGAGACTTCACCTTCCAATGCAGGGGGTGCAGGTTTGATCCCTGGTTGGGGAGCTAAGATCCCACATGCCTCACGGCCAAAAAACAAAACATAAAACAGAAGCAACATTGTTAACAAATTCAATAAAGACTTTAAAAAATGGTCCATATCAAAAAAAAATCTTTAAAGAAAAAAGAAGTTAACATAGGGACTTTCCTGGCGGTCCAGTGGTTAAGACTCCATGCTTCCACTGCAGGGGGCACAGGTTCGATCCCTGGTCTGGGAACTAAGATCCCACATGCTGCAGTGCAGCCAAAAAAAAAAAGGGAACATAGCAGAGAGGGAAGTTAAATGGAACCCTAGAAATGAAAAGTATAAGAACCAAAACTAAAAACTTAATGGATGGATGGACGTGGTATCAAAGTGGACACTGCAAAATAACAAATGAAGTGGAAGACAGATGAAAAGAAAATACAGCAGAATGCAGCAGAGAAAGGAAAAAAAAGCTAGAAAATACAGAAGAAAGGTAAAAATACCTGGAAGATAGACTGAGAAAGGTGACAAAGTCAAATATACATTTTATCATAGTTTCAGAAGAGTATGAGAGAAGTATTATTTGAAGAGGTAATGGCTGAGAATTTTCTAGAAATGACAATACAGATGCAAGAATCCCAACAAATCACAAAAAGTGTAAATAACAAGAAATCCGGTCCTAGAAATAGTATAGTGACCTGCAGAGAAGCCAAGACAGAGAAAATCTTAAAAGCAACAGAGGGCAAAAAAAAAAAAAAAGGCACTACCTTTAAAGAGTGACAGCCTACTGCTGACTTCACAACAGTTAGTGGAGGCCAGAAAACAGTGAGATGACAGCTTCATGTGCTGAAATTACTGGCAACCTAGAATTCTAAACCTGGAGAAAATATACAGTAATTAAAGAATCAAAGTCAAATATTTTCAGACAAAAACAGAATTCTTCACCAGCAGACTCACACTAAGGGAAACTCTAGATGAGGGGCAGGGGTAAGCAATCTAAGTGATATGCAGGCCTCTGTCACCCAGGAGCATGGTAAAGTCACTGGCTAGCTCCAGACATAGATACACTGGTAAGTATGTTGCTACTTCCTAGGGTAAACACTAAATGACAGAAATAGAGGCAAGACTAACAAATCAACAGAAGGACAAAAATGAAAGAAATCTAAAAAGATTAAAAAAATAAGAAGGATAGAAAGGATAATAGAAGACGATAGAACCAACCCCAAATATAATCAATAGTAACATTATAAGAACATACTAAATATGTTATTCCTGTTGCTGTTTTTGAGAGAGTGATTTCTGCATGACCCAGATATTTCTATTTTGAAAAGCAATCCGTGCTTCTACTTGATTCCAGCAGCAGGAAGAGATACAAACACGTCCAGCAGTCAGCTAGGAAGTGCTGGAGGAGCTGAAATTGGCTGCTTTTTCGTCAAAATTTGTAGAAATTATAAAATACATTTTGTAAGTTAAACTTACTTAAAATCAAAATGGTTTTAATTCAGGACTAAAAGTGTACAAAGTTTAACATTTTTATGTCTTTGATATTTATACATCATGACCTATTAAGAAAGATTTCACTGAATACGAAAAGTTTACTTTTTAAATAAACTCTGCCGATGAACAGTGCAGGTACAAAACGGGGGGTGGTATAGTATATATACAAACATGCAATTTCAAATTATTTCTGAAAAACTACACACAAAACTAGTAATTACGATTGCTTCTGAGGAGGGAATTAGGAGAAGAAAGAAGACGGGGAAGTTTCACCTTATGCCCTTTTGAAAATTGTGAATCTAACTTTAGAAAATATATTAGACCATCTGATACTAACAATTTAATGGAAGTGCAAAGAGCTAAGAATAGCCAGAACACGTCTAAGAATAAGATCAAGGGGTCCTGCCCTTCCAAATATCAATAAATTTTATAAAGCTACAGTAAAATTAAGACAATGAGGTATAGGTGCTGGGATAGAAAAACTGACCAACGGTATGGAAAAGAGAGCTTAGAAACAGAGTTGCTCATTTCGAACACCTGATTTGTAACCCAGTTGGCATTAATCAGTGGAAAAAGCAGGTAATTTTTTAATACCTGGTGGTTATGCATGTTTAAACCTAAATTTTTAAAAATCAATAAAATTGGATCCCTACCTCGCACCGTACATATAAGAGAATAAATTTTTGACTCTGAGATGAGGAAAGATTTCATAAGAATTAAAAAATACAACCATAGGGAATTCCCTGGTGGCCCAGTGGTTAGGATTCTGGGCTTTCACTGCAGTGGCCCAGGTTCAATCCCTGGTTGGGGAACTGAGATCCCACAAGCTACACGGTGTGGCCAAAAAACAACAGGAAAGGAAGGAAGGAAGGAAAGAAGGAGGGAGGGAGGAGGGAAGGAATGAAGGAAATACAACCATAAAGAAAAAGATTGGTAAATTCAAGTACATTAAAATTAAGACCCTCTGTTAATCAAAAGATACTATTGGGGCTTCCCTGGTGGCGCAGTGGTTAAGAATCTGCCTGCTCAAACACAGGTTTGAGCCCTGGTCTGGGAAGATCCTACATGCCGCGGAGCAACTAAGCCCGTGTGCCACAACTACTGAGCCTGTGCTCTAGAGCCTGCAAACCACAACTACTGAAGCCTATGTGCCACAACTACTGAAGCCTGCGCGCCTACAGCCTGTGATCCGCAACAACAGAAGCCACTGCAATGAGAAGGCCTCACACTGCAACGAAGAGTAGCCCCCACTCGCCACAACTAGAGAAAGCCCGTGCACGGCAATGAAGACCCAACGCAGCCAAAAAATAAATAAGTCTTAAAAAAAAAAAAAGATACTATTAAAGAGAGTGAAGGGGACTTCCCTGGTGGTCCAGTGGTTAAGAATCCGCCTTCCAATGCAGGGGATGCAGGTTTGATCCCTGGTCAGGGAACTAAGATCCCACATGCTGCAGGGCAACTAAGCCCACATACCACAACTACAGAGCCTACGCACCACGCACCACAAGAGAGCATGCACGCTGCAACTAGACAGAAGCCCGCACGCCACAACAAAAGATCCCGTGTGCCTCAACTAAGACCCAACACAGCCAAAAATAAATAAATATTTCCAAAAAATAAATAAAGAAGGCTGGAGATAGCATAGCTCTGACTTCCAAAGATGAAAAAACAAAAAGGTGAATGTTAAAAAAGAGAATGAAAAGGCAAGTCACAAACTGGAAGAAGGTATCTGCAACTCGTATTCTGAATTACATCCAGAATATATAAAGAACTTCTGTGAATTAACAAGAAAAATAAATAACTCAATAGAAAAATGGGCAAAAATTTTTTTCACAGAAGAGGAAGCACAAGTAATTCCTAGATATATGAAATGATGTTCAATCTTGTTACAAAAACAGAAACTTGTAAATTAAAATCACTATGTCATCCCACATCCAGGAGAAAATTAAGGTTTGACAATACCAAATGCCAGTGAGGAAATAGGACAAAGGACTGCAGATGTGGGTGTGCATGTAAATTTGTACAACTTCTTTGGAAAACAGTTTGACAATATCTGGTAAAACTGAACACGTGCATACCTTACACCCATCAGTTCCACCTCTGAGTGTAACCCTACACAAGCCTGTGCTTATGCACAGAAGTCACATATGAAAACATACATAGCAGCACTGTTTGAAAAAAACTAGAAACTAAAATGTCTGTCATTGGCAGAATTAATAAGATGGGGGTGTTGGATACACCCAGTGGAATATTATATAGCAATGAAAAATGAACGTAGCATCCTACAAATGCCTGACCACTCCTCACCAAATTTTCAAGGAAAGTTATCAAAAAAAAAAAAAGGATACTCTGAAAAACTTTCACAGCCAAGAGGAACCTAAGGAGACATGATGATGTCTAAATGTAATGTGCTACCCTGGATGGAACCCTGGAACCAAAAAAGGACATAAGGTAAATACTAAAGGAAACTTGAATAAACTATGGACTTTTGTTAATAATAATGTATCAGTCTTCATTCATTGTAATAAACATGCCATACTAATGTAAGATGTTAGCAGGGAAAACTGTGTGCAAGGTATATGGGTATTCTCTGTACTATCTACTCAATTTTTCTCTAAATCTAAAACTGTTCTAAAAATAATGTCTATCAATTAAAAATGAAGCTATAGGAGTATTAATATGAATCAATATTTAAAATAATGTTAAGTAAGGGTATCATGGAAAAATATAGACAACATGATTCTATTTACATTAAGTTCAAGAACAGCAAATAAATGTATTATTTAGGATAAAAACATGGTAAAATTGAAAATAAAATGGAAAAACAATATTACAGGTAAGAAAAATGAGCTATCTGTTGAAGGTTCACTTGAACTTCCAGGGTCAGAAAGTAAAGGAAGTATATAAAAACAAGATTCAAAATAGTGGTTACCTCTGGCTGGGGTAGTGGGGAAAGGCAGGCAGAAGGAGGGAGGCAATGGGATGTTATCAGTTTTGAGCACAACGGGTCTTCTGGGATTGTGAAAATGTTCTATTTCTTGTCCTGGATAAAGTGTACATGTGTGTTTCTACATATTTTCATATACTTCTATATATATGCTATATTTTACAAATTTTACATTTTTATTTAAAAAGAAAGGAAAAACTTATCTGTCCCCTAGGCAGGCTCCGACCCTAGTGCCCTGGCACAATTATTCTTCAGGGGAGGCGGTTCTCCTATATTTGGTTAGGGGTCTTCACATGGCCTTGTCCTCTGAGGTGGCTCCCTCTGGCCTCCCCTAAGCTGACAGAAGCTGTCTTTCTGGTCAACACGGCTGGTTAGAGTAGCTCCAGATGGGGACTGTGCATAGGGGTCATCTCTGTCCCTTCCCGTCAAACACCATCAAGCTCAGCAAAGCAGCAGCATGGGACTGGGGAGCCGTAGGGGCCTGTGGGGCTTTGGAGATCAGCTTGTTTCAGCCCATCAAGGATGGGGCTTCAGTCTGGGCACCACCCAGGCGGGAGGGCAGAGGCCTCTCTCAGAAAAGATTCCTGCTTGCTACCATTCCCTCTCAATTCCT